GGTTGCCCCAATAAAATCTAAAACACCAATTAGTAAAAAAAAAAAAGAATACAGATAATCCTTTTAAAAATACTAAAGATGCAACAACAAAAAGGGAACACAAAGTCCACAGGAAAGTCCAAAATAAAATACCAGATAAGATACAGTCCTAACAGGCCAATCCTTCTTCAAACTTTTGTATTGTGCTTTTGGGTAAGCGTCACTTCGTGGCAGCGTATGAAAGAGAGCAAACACAAAAGGAACCGATAGTGCAATATGGCAATAAAATGTATGACATTTGACACTAAGGTCCAAAAATGCCAACTCACATATAATAGAGCTATAACCAGCTCTCGATAAACAGCATGCAGTGGTTTCTAATCCCTACTTGCATGATATCCCTCTGACCATAATTCACAACAGGGTAATGATGAAGTAGACCATAAAAAACAGAAAAGAAAAAACAATAGTGCTCTCCATATGGCTAAATATAATAAATAAGTGGAAATGTACTTACAATAAAATGAGCAGACAAACCGCTCTTTATATCAAGCGTGGGTGGTATAATCCCTATCTAGGATTCTTTAAATGGTTGTTTGCAGTTATTTTAGGTGATAAAGTGCCAGGTAGAAATGCTGAGATTGAAGACTAAAAAGTATGTGGCAAAAACTAAATTGTAAGGGAGCCGAAGAATACTTTTATTAATCAAAAATGCAATAAAATCACAATGCGTTTCACCCCTTGGGGCTTTATCAAGTGTGTTTTATTAATCAAAAAGGCAATAAGACACATGTACAGGTACTAATATATGTGATACGGTACAAGCAAAATTGTGGCATTTTGGCTTAGGTGTCTTTACAGACAAGACACATAATTGCTCAGAAGATTAATCAGGTGTTATTGTATTCATGACATGAATCTGTAGGGTACATTTTTTTATTTTTTAACATTTTTCCATGTGTTAAGCATGGCTTAAATGGACACTCCTAGTTCCCTAGTGTATTTTAACATCCTAAAGTGCTTTACGGGTTAACTGCTTGTCCCCTCTGCTGTATTTTCTAAAAGTGCTGGTTTCATAGGAGATGGCAACTTTTATCAATCACCTTAGCAGTGACTCACATTTTGTTGCCTCACTAGCTTTAAACTATAGTTCAGAGAGAAGTATTGGTTTCTATGCTTATCTAACATTGTTTGGATGCATGTAGTGTGGGCCCTAAAAACTTTTCTACGCGTTAATTATCATCAGCAATGTTGACTTCATATGAGGTGGATTGGAAGAGTAGCAAAGAGCTGCTCCTGGTGATAGAACAAAGGTGAGTTTACTGTTTTAACCCTTTATGTGCTGAAATGGTGGTAGAAATCTAAACACAAATAGGACCATTCCACAGTCGAGGCCAACTCCCTAATATGGCACCCCTCCCTGTTGCAGGTGCCTCAATCAGGGCCATATTTAATCTTGCACTGCAGAGAGTACCAGGAGGAAGGCTTTCCCAAGTTAGTGAATTAATTTCATAAGAGCAGGCATTAGGTTGCCAGAGTAGGACGTGTCAAGAATGGGGAGCATTGACATTGTGGCAGGTTTGTGCAATGTATGATAATATACTATAACTAAACCCCCATTATTTTTGCCTAGGTTACCAAAACTATTGCATATTGTGAGCATTGAAATTGCTGTTTAGTGACTGAGTGCACTAAATCTTGTATGTTACAATAACTGGGTAAATGTTTTGACTATTGGGGTAGTCAAGTTGCGTAGTAGTCTCAAGTTGATCTTGAAAGACCCCAGTGGTCAAAATGTTGATCTACTTGATGTAACACTAAGTTTTTGTTACACCAATATATTTTGTTACAGAGTTACAAGACCCGTGAGTGTACCCTTTTATTAATTTTATATATATATATATATATATATATATATATATATATATATATATATATTGTTAATGCAAATCATCAACATCCCCACTATACCTTTTTTGGTTTTTGCTTCACAAGCACTGCCTCACTAGCCAGCCAGTAACCAACCTCACCTGATGATTTGCATTAACAATGAAACAGCTGTCCATGAGTGGTTCACTGGCTTTGCATCTTTTCCCAAGTTGTGTTTCAAAGCTGTTGTATACAGCAAACACAGACTCCAAGGAATCAGGCAAAAATGTGATTCTTCGTTTAACTAATTTGCATATGCCCACCCAGAATCCTTTGCTGTAGTAACATCACTGAAAATGCATGATTCCTGTGGGAAATGCAAGTCTTATGGCTTGACTGGTGTGAAGATTTTTGTTTAACATTGTATTAACTATATATATATGCATATATATTTTTAGTTTTTTTCTTAAAAAGTATAATTTACAATTTTAAGGGCACATGTTATATAGCAATACTAGTCATAATATTGACAATGGGAGTAAAATGGGAAAATGTTACATGATTTTAAAACATTACGCAGTTGTTAGCATCTGTTAAGAATATTTCAATAAGTATTACTGCATACAATATTGTTACTAATTAATGATCAAATTGTATTATTATTTTGAATATTTAATGAAATGTGTTAGCACAACTTGTACAAAAATCTTTTTCTTTCAGTTCCATTTATAACTGGTATCTTAATTAATGATCAAGTAAACACTTCATTGTGCTATGATTGGAGCTAGCATTTTTGTGCTCTGGTTTCTTTTCGATTTACGCGCTCTCTAAAAGCCTCAGGCAGTGTAAACATGTCATACCGAAAAACATCATAACAAAAAAAATAAATTCAATTGATGGTAACAGTGGTCTCTTCATCTGAGCTCCAACATAGTAACATCTTTCTATTAGACTCTACAATATAACAAGCAGACACACTAAGCAGTACAAGCACTTGACTGTTCTAGTTCAGTTCAATACAATGGCAATAGCCCTGGTAAAACTGGCTGTACATTTCAATTGTCCAGTCTCCATAGAATATAAAGCATGCTTAACAGTTAGATATTCAAGAGCTTCTTTCATTTTCTCAGCTTCATACATCCTATTTAACAATACTTTACTAATGCTGTAGGAATAAGCAGGATCAGTAGATCATAATGAAGCTCGGCACTCTGCCCACTTAGAGAGTTACATCCATGTTTGTAATTGGTTTTAACATCGGCACATAAAAGACACTTATTTTTAAATTAGCCCCAAACACTCTGCAGCTATATAGAATTATATACTGAAACATATTTTATGCAACTAATTTACAGAACATTTGCCAGGTGCAAAGGCTCTGTCCTTTGCACCTGGCAGTCGACATAGACAACGCATACAAAGAAGAGGAGACATGAAGCAATGTGGTCTATCATTTTTTTTCATTTGCAATATCTGCCATGGCTTTGCCTAGTCTGAAAAAGGTTATGATAACATTTGCTAAATCTTTCATATATTTTTTTTCTAAATGGAACATTTCATGAAAAAATAGATTAACACGAGTTAGATGTGATTTTCAATGTGTCATTCAATAGTATAAATTCCAACAAAGTAAGACTTTAAGTATTGGCAGTGATAGCATGAAAGGTTAATCTACTGAGACTTACAAGTGTTCATTTCTGAAAAACCTTCCATAAATCTCATAGGAGGTCTACTCATTTTTATCTAGTTAGTCATTCTGAACACAATGTTATTTAATTAACACCTTCACTACAAATACCATGTATGAAAGGGCTGTTGTCATAGTACCTAAGGATAAGTTTAGTACTGTGAACTAGTAATATGAATAACAGTGGTAGTCAAAACGCAGACTAGCCAAGGGTCAAAACAATGAAACGTGAACAAATACAATGAACATGCTATTGGGAATATAAAACACAAGAGGGCAAGGAACACTTGTATGAGTGAGATATACATTGATAGTTTAGTTGCGTCAATCCTGCATCATCAGAATGTCCATGTGTGTCATTATTAAGCTTTCCATGTCCAATAAAGTCTGCACTGGATGTATACTTCTGTGCCTAGACCACTCTTTTTATAGAAGTAGGCTAATATATGTAGAAGCTCCACCCAATATTACAAATAGTATAGGCAACATGCACATTATAAACATCAACATGTTCTGGAAGATTCTTGCCTATTGTAAAGATCGATGTATCCGAGAACTCTGTGAATATACATTTCTGAAACTTTTAGCAATCAGCATCATGTATTGACTACTTCTGAATATATTTCTTACTTTTATTTTTGGGAAAATTAAAGCTTAAGTTTTTAAATAGACCCATATAACTTGTATTGTATTTTTTGCACTTAGAAATGGGAGTAATCTGCACACTGTTGAGATAAATTTAGCCAAATCTCCTGAAAGCCTTCATTAAACCTCAACATTCACTGTCATCTTTAAGTTAAATGATAGAAGTTTTAACATAATCAGAAAAAAAATGCTGATACCTGCCTCTGTTACTGTCACGACAAAATTGACAAGATAATTTTTTTTTTTAAATAACACATTTTTGTGATTTAGGAACTGACAAGCAGGCAGCATTTAGAAATAGATTCAATGCAAGAACTGGAACTTCAAAAAAGTATTTAATGGTGTGGAAGATCAACCAAACAAGTGGTGCATACAAAATCTGTCAGGATGCAAACCACTTAAGCGAATACGACTCAAAATCCTTTCTACCCACCACCTTTACCTGATTTCAAATTTCATCTCAGAAAATTTAGTACACAAAATGCTTCTTATTTGAAAATGATTTACAAGTGCACATTTCAGGAACATCATTAAAAGCACTTTCATGACATATTCTGTAGCATAAGGTTTTCTGTCTAATACATTCACAACTACTTTTATATCTTGCATTATCTTTTATATTTGTATTGCCAATGGAAATCTGTATAGATCAGTAGCACCTGATCTTGGTCCATCAGATTCTGTTGCACTACAATTCCCATAATACTTGTAATTAGAGTCAACAACAAGTAGAAGGCTAAGATGGACACCTCTGGTGTTGAATGGATGAAAAGAAATAGGCACACTTAAGGTTTCTTTTAAAAGGTAGTCTTTTTTTATTTGAAACAAGAAAGTGGAGACAACGTTTTGACTCCTCTCTGAGCCTTTATCAAGTTTTGATAAAGGCTCAGAGAGGAGCCGAAACATTGTCTCCATTTCCTTGTTTCAAATTAAAAAAAAAGACTGCTATTTAGAAGAAACCTCAGGTGTGCCTGGATATTTCTTTTCTTCCATTTGATGTCTTCAGGGATTGGCCCTCCCTTTCTGGAGCGCCATGCAGGAATTATAACACTTTTTTTAGTGTGTGCATTACACTCTTGTTTTTTTTTTTGTAAAACCTCTGGTATAGGAGATCAAAATATGTCATGTGAATATAGAGTTCCATTGGCATAGTTGACTGGTAAATGACATGTCACAACTTAATATGTTGACTATCAAATAGTAAAATGTGTAGGGAATGTAAACAAACTAAACAAAAAATTCTTAAATAGTGTTAATAGTTTGTTTGAAGTTACAAAATGGAGTATGAATGGTATGTTACCAAATAATTTAATACAATTGTTGCACATATAGATGAAAATGTTAATAATGACTAGCTAAGCACCATCATAAATACACTTGGAAAAACTATGTGTCTTTAGATAGGATACGAAGGACAAACATGTAATGGCATTGTTGCTGTTCAGTCTTAGAGTCATATAGTACTATCACGGTAGCCTCATAGTAGACTTATAGCAAAATGTACACCAGTACAAGAGCAAATTAATTGCAGAGTACAGCAGAAGAAAGAATAAAACAACAGAAAAAATGTATATGTGCAATACAGGGAATGAGAGCCCAGTGATAGCACACATACTTAAATGGACACTCCACTGCCCAAATAATAATAGTAATAAAAAAGTACTGTTTAGTAGATATACCACCAATGAAAGCATGGAATTATGGATATTGTTATGGAAGGTATATCTAAAAACAAAGCTGCAGATCTCTTACCTGAAGCCATTGCCAACTGACTGTCCAATCACATACTTCTGAATGTTGTTCAATGATTAGTCTTTTCAAGGCAGGTGCTCTGAGCAATGTTCTGCCTCTTCAGTTTAGAGCTAAGTAAACCATGAAACAATAGGATGTTCTTATTAACAGCCAGGTGGGTGTAACAAGTTTAATTTATAAAAATGCCAATTTGTAGTGAATTCTACACTTTTTGTAAAGTGAAAAAAAGGACATACTCTTCAGCAAGCAAAAGTGCTTTATGTTTCTGGAGTGTCCCTTTAAGAGAAAAAAAGGCATCAAATGCCCCAAAAAACGGTATTATACACTGCTGAATAATCTCAAGTATCAAAAATAAAAACGTGGAGCCAAAAGGAGCCAATATGCACTGTGGGAAGCTGCAATGACAGCTTCATGCATATAAAATAGGTTGCTATTCCTTAAAACTTCTTAGAAAACCTCTTACAGGAAATGTCTCAAAGTCCTGCCTAGGGTATGTCAGGGTGTTTGTCACTAGTGATCACTGTAAGATATATAAAATACTGTACCTAAATACTAATAGAATTACAGTAATGCATGGTGTATACTTTAATGAGACTCCAACTACATATTTCTTGAGACTCCAGAAGGAAATCTGCCTGATGACCGAGCTGAAGATCACTTAAAAAGTTTAAAGGAGAGAAATAAAGCATTATAATTTTAGGGAAATACATACAATACTAATGAAACAGCAGAACAACAGTTCAAGATAACAGTACAAAGACGAATACTTTGAATCCTCTCTAGGTACTCTATAGTCACAAGAACAACTACAGCTTATTGTATTCGTTATGGTGAGTATAGTCAGTCTCTGCAGGCTTTTTGCAGAAAACACTGTTTTTTCAGAGAAAAGACAGTGTTTACATTGCTCCCTGGGGACACCTCCAGTGACCAGTCCTCTGATGGCTACTAGAGGTGCTTCCTGGGGCAGGCAGTGCTGCACAGTGCGACATTCAGACTGACATTCAGTGTCTCCACCCTCTGCATGGAGACACTGATCTTTCTTCATAGAGATGCAATAATTAAATACATCTATATATGGAGATGTTGATTGGCCAGCGCAGTGTTAAGCTCTGCTTGCCATTTCCTTTGCTGAGATCATCAGAATTGACAATCTCAGCCAATCAAATGCTTTCTTTTAGGAAAGCATTGTGATTGGTTGAGATCATCACTTCTGATAATGTCAGCAAAAAGAGGCAGATCAGTGGCAGAGCCAGCAGCAGACTGGAATAAAGGTAAGATTTCACTATATTTAGGGGGGCAAGGGAGGGTAGGAGGGCTAAATAATGTTATTAACACTAAGGGTCAGGAATACAAGTTTGCATTCCTAAAGCTATAGTGTTCCTTTACGTTCTCTCGGAAGTCAAGCCGAAGTTGCCAAAGTTGAAACAGACGTATAATAGGTTCACAATAAGACATGCTTTTTTTGTATTTGCTGCAGAAAGAAGCCCAGTTGACAAATGAATAAAGAGACGAGAAAAATAGTCTTATTGATCTATTTGAGATCAAAGTCACATTCTTATTGGTTGTATTAATAGCTGAAAAGAATTCAGCTTGAATCCACATCAAGTTCAGTGATCACAAAATGCACATATGATAATGAGCTTGCGATTGACCTCTGTCTGATATTGCATAAATTCCATATGAGCCAAAACCAGTTAAAATAAGAATATTCTATGATTCTTATATAATTGTGCTCATTTCTGTAATTTACATTTCAAATTATGCATACTGTCTTTTTATGTTAGCATAATGAGAATTTCAGTCACTTTACTTCAACTATACAACATATAGTTATGCACTTTGTGAAGTTAAAATAACACAAGTCAATTAAGCTAAGCTCTTGAAAACAGTTTTCTTTGGACTGTACTCAATGTCATCTATATATTTCCATATATTAAAAATCTGCCAAAGCCGTACTTGCTGAATTAGCAGAAATGCATGTATGAGAGCACACTAAGTTACATAGCCTTTATCTGGAAATAGTTACATTTTTTTTTGTACTGCTAAAGCTTGCTATAGTCTGTAATAGCATCCTGAGTCTTTCTTTACCCATATGCAGTATATAATGAGGTGCTCATCAGTCTGTTATTAATCTTTCATAATTATCTGCTGATTAGATTTGCGACTTGCATGAAAAGAAAAACTGTGGTTACATTTCGTGATTTTTTTTTTTTCCCACTATCAAAATTCAGGATATGGGAAGAGTAATGTATACAATAATGTGTATGGTGGTTCTGTATTTTTTTTCTGGTGTGCAACAGCTCTCATCCATATAAAGTTCAAACCTTTGAAAACCAAACATATAAAAACAAACATAGTAAAAAAAAAAGAACTGGTTATGGAATGTGTCATACAAGTCATGAAGAAGATGTGTTAATGGCAGACATTTGGCTTACTATTTATAGAGCGGTTTATCTAAAGAAGGGGTGTCCAAACGTTTTCCAAAGAGGGACAGATTTGATGAAGTGAACATGCATGAGGGTCAACCATTTTGCCTAAACCATTAAAATTGCATGCAAATTAACTATTTTATGCAGAGTTTATTGCAAACGGCATACTTTTCATTTCATCGCTTTATTCTGTATCAGATTTCTTTATTCTGTCTCTTTATTCCGTCTCTTCTCTCTTTATTCTGTCCCTTCTCTCTTTATTCTGTCTCTTTTCTCTTTATTCTGTCCCTCTTTATTCTGTCCCTCTTTATTCTGTACCTTTTTATTCTGTCCCTCTTTATTCTGTACCATTTTATTCTGTCCCTCTTTATTCTGTCCCTTTTTATTTTGTCTTTCTGTCCCAGCAGGGAGAAGGAACCAAATACCGTAATCGCTCGCACCAAATCCCGCAAATCCTGTGAAGAGATCGCGAGAACGCAGACTGAAGTCATTGCAAGTCCATCTGCGTTCTCGCAATCTCTTGGCCACCAGTGAATCCCCGAGCGCAGCTCAGGAGCACAGCGTTCAAAGATCCAGAGATCCCAGGGGTTCTGAGCGTCGCTCGGGGATTCACTTGGGGCCACAACAGATAGATTTACCTTATTAACTGTGGGGCCGTATTAATCCGGAGTGCAGGCCGCAAATGACCCGCGGGACGGAATTTGGACATGACTGATCTAAAGCAACAAAAAAGCTTATATAAAGATTTTTATGTATTTCTAATGAATTTCTAATGAATAATGAGCTTTCAATGCAGATGGTCCCCCGCTGAATGTCAGGATAGGTCGCCACCCAGCAGAATAGTTACACAAGGTAAAATAGACTGATATGTACCAGACCTCTGAGTGGCCTTCCTGACCAATTTTTGCAGGTACTAAACTATGCATTCCGGGAACAGCGCATAAGATTGCCGTATTGGAGATGCTCTGACCCAGCCGGTTAGACATCACTATTTGGCCCTTGTCAAGGTCACTCAGATCTTTTCACTTGACCATTTTTCCTGCTTCCAACATATTAATTTAAAAAACTAACTGTTCACTTGTTGCCTAATATATCCCACCCCTTGATAGGTGTCTTTGTAAAGATATAATTAATTATTCAGTTCATCTATCAGTAGTTTTAATGTTGTTGCCGATCAGTATATATATATATATATATATATATATATATATATATATATATATAAATCAGAAATTCTGTGTTATGTTTTAGATCTTTGCATGCATGATTTCTTAAGTAACCCTTAGAGTGCTATATCTTTGCTCTGTTGTTGTTTAATATATATTAAGTTTGTTTATCTGGTCTTTTTGTTAAAGACTGTGTATTATTTTGCTTTATATTATGATTATTCTTGTCCACTGCTTGACATGAATTTCTATATTACAATGGCAGATTATTTTGATTAGCAGTCTAGTGCAAGCGCTAAAAGAAGGAGCCAGAGACTTGTACGTTGACATTTATTTGTGGTAACCCCCAAAACTTACTCAAGGGTTGTGTAAGCCAAAACAAGAGTTATTTAGTATGATGCTGATGGTTTATTTATTATAGCAGATGGGGAATAATGAGAAAGAGGTGGTATGGATCATGGCAATAATGGTTTATGGTGTCTTCAGTTTTCTATATAAAACTGTTGTAATTTTGCTGCATAGTGGCTGTATAAACCCGTGACATTAGCATTGACGATCAATGCATTTGTGAACGGCACA